GTTAAACCAAGAATGAAAATAGGTTTTGTGCCAACTCAAATTCACTAAAAGTAGCTATTGGGACTATGATAAAGATTAGAAGGAGATCTTTATGCAACAGGTAAATAGCAGCATGTATACCAGCTGTTTACTTACAAGTCTAAATTGCACCATAATAGTCCTTAAATTCTGTGATTACAAAAGTGGATATGGCAAATGACTATCAACTAAAGAGAACCAAAAAATATTAACAAATTGCAGGGACTGCAGGCCAAAGATTGCATGCAATGGAATAGTAGCAGTGGAAGTAATGAGACTAATATTTAAGTAATTTTAGCATAGTCACAGCTGAAGACCTTTACTTAGGAGGTTTTCCATGTGCAGGTGATAGTAAACAATGTAAGCTTCTCCGAGTAAGTAGGACAGAAAGACAGTGGGAATAAAAGCCAGAGAGAGGAATTAGAACTTGAAAAGCATCTAGAGACTTGGAGGGAAATAAGGAGAAGCCAGAGAAGAATGAAACAGAAAAAGAGAAACAAGGGGAAATAATGAGCAGTTACAGAAAAGGTTTAGCAGGGGACCAGAGAGAAATAATGCTAGTAAAAGGGAATGTAATGGCCAGATCAGAACAGCAATGATTCATTAATATTCAATGCCCACTGCTAAAAAGTGGTGGACATAATGATTTTGTCCACTTTATACTAAACAGAAAAAGGAGAAATCTCAGTAAGATTCCAAATCCACCCATGTACATTTACTTACTATAAACATAAAGAGTTAAGAGAAATAGTAAGTTAGGTTTGAATACCAACAGTTAGAAATACAGTGGGAGAAGCTACTTAAATGCTGCCTACGTTTTATCTTAATGTAAGGAGTACTGAGGAGAAACTGTAACATATCGACAATGATACAGCCTATTAAATAAGACTGAAATAGAAATTACAAGCATCATAGTCTGAGGTGACACTGTTCAAGTTCAGGTTCACAAAAAAGAAATAACATTCAATTATGATAAGGAAAGGTACATTCTAAAATATACATTGGTCAAAACTGGCTGCTAGATCCTTCCATGTCCAAGACCAATGTTATACCAAGTACTGTTTCTTAAGATAAGGAAAACTCATCAGTGAACTATCTCAATCTAAACAGAACAAGTGAAAAACCTTTATAGAACACACCATGAAAAGCTTGTAATGCTTTCCAAAATGAATGTAAAAATGAATTTTTCTTTGAGGCAAAGCAAGAAAGAAAATGGGGGGAAATGAGGAAAATTCACCTTGTAAGTGGAGCAATTTCTTTTCAGGGAAATGGCAGAAGTTGCAAAGGAAAATCGTAAGCCAGGACATTCTTCTGAAGAACTGTGGATTTAATAAAACTATAAGCAACACCCATAATATGCAATTTGAGCCAGATGGCAGCCAGTGCAAAGAAGAAACAGAACAAGTCTCTCAAAGTCAAACGCACGCCTCGCGAAGAATGAGCTGCTGCTGCTATCCCTATCGCAACATCTGGAGATGAGTTTTTTAAAAAAAACTTATTTTGAGAGCAAATAAAATTTTGTGTTTACTTGACATTGTGGCTACTCATAGGAAGAGCACATAGTTTCCCAACATCTCTACCACATTTGTGCTCCGGTCCTCGAAAACCTGTATGTCAGTTTAAGAGCCTCCAAGGGTTAGTTATGGAAACAAAGACACTAAAGTAAACATTTTTTTTTTTAGCTATCTCAAGTTTTTCTTGTTTTTCTTCCTTCAAGAAACTATGGAGCCAGCCAGATTTGGTAGCTGTATGACCCGGGCAAGCCACTCATTCTACCTAGGGTCCCTCCTCTATGAAACTGGGATAATAACCTCACTGGCTTTTTGTGTGCACCAGATGATTTAATGTATGTAAGGGCTTAGAACAGTACCTAGCACACAGTATGTACCATATATATATATAATATATACATATGTGTGTGTGTGTATATATATACATCATGTTTTTTGGTTACAAAAATTTAAAAAAAAAATTCACTCCACTACTGATGGACATTTGGACTGCTTCTAAATCTTGGTGGTTGCAAATAATGCTGCAATGAACATAGGGGTGCATATATTCTTTTCTTTTGAAGTCACATTTATAAAAAATGGCCAAAGCATGAATGGTTTATTTGTACTCTAATTGGAAATATTTTCTTTTGTTCTGTCTTCTGAAAACCTAGGCTATAAAATGATGCAGAGCAAGGTGACAGTTAATCTTGATTGTTTATCTGGATTTTTCCTGCCACTTTGGCAACAGCAGGCAGAAAAGAATTAGTGTTTCAGGTTTCTTCCGGTGCGGGCATGGAGAACTTGAGCAAAAAGAATAAAGAAAGAGAAAAAACACATAGACAGCAGTGTGGTAATTGCCAGGGGAGGTGGAGTGGAGAGGTGGAGGAGAATATGAGGATGAGTGGTGATGAACAGAGTAAAAAAATAAATAAGTAAATTATTTATGTAATTGTTATTAAAAATATTTATTAAGCCAAACCCTACATTAGGCTGTCAGTGTACAAAGACCAATACATCGAGATGCCTGTTTTCAAAAGCGCTTGGTGAGGAGATGAGTGAGTAACACTTGTTACAGAAGAACAGGAGAGTTGCTGGGACAGAGATGAGCGCAGCCCACTTGGAAGCACAGAAAGAGGACATTTAACTTAATTATGTCCTTATTTAGGCTACGTCTTTCCAATGATGCTCTTCCTGACTGGAATTAGACTTGGCCAAATTTATCCACTTCCCAGAGGAAATAAGAGAAGGTGCTTACCTTTGCTCAGCATAGAGAAGCTTGTCACAGAACAAATCAGATAGCACAGGAAACAAGGTGTGAATCTCTACTCCATATTTAAGATGAAACTTACTTTCCCTCTCTGGGTTCAAATGGCAGAGCCTACAAGTGGCCTTTAACTCTCAATTTCATTTTCATTGTATATAAAACATAATCTGAAACTTGACCACCAGCTACTTCCTGAAAATATGGTTTTAAATTTTTCTCATCAAGTCAAAATAAAAATTCAAAGTACCTCTTTTTGAGTGTATACAATTGTCTACTTGGCCAACATTTTCATTCTAGTTTTTGCTATATATATATATATATATATATATATATATATATATACACACATATTTTTTGCTATATATATATATATATATATTTTTTTAAGTTTTGTCCCTCAAAGTTGAGGTTAAGAAAGGAAGTGTAAACTATGATTGGTCTCTAGTGAAACATCTAAGATTCATTCACTAGTTTAAACAAAACACTAATACCTGAGAAAATTTTCTTTCCTCCCAGTTCTAGTAGATTGATAAAGGGTTAGGCCTCCTTATCTAGCTATCTTTAGAGAAACTTAGTGACGGTTTCTGGACTCTGTCTATATCTTTGGGGTCATAAGATTATACTATACTGGTCATTAAAAGGCCCTCTGCGTCTCCTCACATATCCTTGACAGCAGGCTGCCCTTCATTTTTGTGCCAATACACCTATGTCATGCAAAGGGAGAAAGTGAAAATGCAAAAACAAATGCCAAAATCTGATCTTCATGCTATAGTTTTCTCTAGACTACTCAAGACCGCCTTAAAAACTGACTGTCATCAAAGTGGCAGGAAAAATCCAGATGAACAATCAAGATTAACTGTCACCTTGCTCTGCATCATTTTATAGCCTAGGTTTTCAGAAAACAGAACAAAAGAAAATATTTCAAATTAGAATACAAATAAACCATTCATGCTTTGGCCATTTTTTTATAAATGTAACTTTAAAAAAGCATATTTTTAAAAATCTGAGTTTTACCACATTCCAGCAAAATGATTTCTTTATTAAAAAAAGTTTTCCAAAGTGTTGCAGGTTCGATTCCCAGTCAGGGTACATGCCTGGGTTGCAGGTCATGACCCCCAGCAACTGCACATTGATGTTTCTCTATCTCCCTCCCTTCCCTCTCTAAAAATAAATAAATAAAATCTTAAAAAAATAATAAAAAGGTTTAAAAAAAAAAGTTTTCCATGTGTTCAAACTTCAGATCCAAAACTGGAGTTTTCTTGGCCAAAACTCCTAATGCACCTGGCACAGCTGTCTCTAGGTTGAAGGGCAATGGTGCTCTTCAGAAAACCGCAGATGACACTATTCGAAGGGTAGGATAATACTTGGGTCCATGACTCATGTTTTAATACTTAATATGAATGACTGACTCTACTACACAGTTTTTTCTCCTAAAATGATTTAAAATATCAAGCTTATCTCCATTTATTTGAAGATTTAAGCTCATGTGGATATAAAAATGAGATCAAGTATTACTTGCTCAAGGGCAAATGAAAGGCAACTGGCAAGGTTCTGAACATTCATTTAATTGTATACTATATACTATGTGATAACATGTATGTGAATGTATCTACAAACACTCTCATATGTATATTTGCAATTAATACATATATATATACAAACAAAATCATGCAAAATATTTTAATTTTATCCAAGTAAAGCTTTTGTGAGTTACCAAGTCACTTGCATTATTCTAAAAATGTAAGCATGAGTTAGGAAAGACTCGGTGTTTTCCATAAGGACAATGAGCAACAAACAGTCCACCTGATCTTCATTAAGCAACAGGAAAGTGAGTTTTCTTTGCCACTCCTGCTGTGCCTCCATACAACCAGGAGCTTCCTCAGAGACCCAACACCCTGCTTCAGGTGATCATTCCTGACCTTGGGGTCCCAGGAACAGGAGGGAAGGGAAAGAGGGAAGTAAAAGACACCAGCTCAAGCCCATACCATATTTCCATGTTTTAAGACAATATTATAGAGTGGGGCAAAAGTAGGATTTCAGCTGAGTACCTGAAACAGTTTATTCTTATACTATTATTTATTATTGTATTACTTTCCATATAAACACCTGTAAATCCTGTTTGCCTCACCCTGCATATACTGTGAAATGAAGCAAAAGGCAAATGACTCTTCTGACATCTTGCTGATCCATTGAAAACAAGAATAGGTGGGGATAAAGATGCTTACCTGTTGTTCCTGCATTCTTGCAGCTCCAAGTTCGGAGAGAGACATGGTGAGCTTCTCCTGCTGTTCTGATAGGTATTTCTGATAGAGGCTTAGAAGTTCTTGGCATTCTCTGTACTGTAGCTGAAGAGGTGAGATTACAAATTAAGGAAAAAACTGAATAAATGAATTCAAAGTGCACCTGTGAATGCTGCTTTTCAGATTCCAATAAACAAAACAGAGACAGATATGGAACCATATTTGGTGAGAGTGCAGCTGAGTGTAGTCTTCAGATGAACATAGTAAATGTATTTTCATTTGAACGTATCTCATTTGAAGAGACATTTCTCTCTAAACATTTACATTTGAACAAAAACAAATGTGAACACATGCAAAAAAAGGAGGTTGGATCCCTACCTTGCACCATATACAAAATTAACTCAAAATGAATAATTGGCCTAAATGTAAGAGCTGAAACTATGCAATTCATAAAAGTAAATCTTTGTGATCTTGGATTAGGTAATGGGTACTTAAAAAACAACAAAAAAATAAAGAAAGAAATTTGACTTCAAACTTTAAAAGTTTGTGCTTCAAAAAAAGAAACTGAAAAGACAGCCTACAGGATGAGAGAAACTATTTGCAAATCACACATATAAGGTACTGTTATCAGGATATAGTAACATGTTATAACAGTCAGCAATAAAAACTATTAACCTAATTAAAAACGGGCAAAAGACTTGAATAGATATGTCCTACAAGAAAATATACAAATGGAAAACTGTACTTGAACAATGACTAAAATAAAAAAAATTTAAAAAAAAAAGAAAATATACAAATGGCCAAGCAGCACTAGAAAAGATGCTGGACATCATTAACCATTAGGGAAATGCAAATCAAAACTACAATGAGATACCACTTTGCATCTACAAAGATGACTACCATAAAAAAGACTGACAATAATACACACTGACAAAAATATGGAAATGTTAAAACTCTCCTACATAGCTGATGGAAGATTAAATGGTGCTGCTGCTTTGGAAAATAATTTAGCAGTGCCTCAAAAAGTTAGACACATAGCTACCATATGACACAGCAATTCCACTTCTAGGTATATACCCAAGAGAATTAAAAATGTATGCCCATGTAAAGCCGTGTACATGCATATTCAGAGCAGCATCATTCATACAGTAAAACACCTAAATGTCCACCAAGTGATCAATGGATAAACGAAATGTGGTATACCTTGCCAAGGGTCTTACTCAGCTGTAAAAAGAAACAAAGTATAGCTACACGCTACTGTATGAATGAATCTTGAATTTTGCTAAAGAAGCCAGACACAAAATACTACATATTAAATGATTTCACTTATATAAAGCACAAAATATTACATATTATGTTATTTCATTTATATAAAGCTGTTGCTATTCTTTCTTTTGTTTTAAATACTTCTTCCAGCCCTGGCTGGTGTAGCTCAGTGGATTGAGCGCGTGGGCTGTGAACCAAAGCATCGCAGGTTCGATTCCCAGTCAGGGCACATGCCTGGGTTGCAGGCCACATCCCCAGTGGGGGCCACGTGAGAGGCAACCACACGTTGATGTTTCTCTCTCTTTCTCCCTCCCTTCCCCTCTAAAAATAGGTAAATAAAATCTTTTAAAAAATCTTAAAAAAAATAAAATAAAGTAAATAAATAAATACTTCTTCCAGTAAGCCAGGGAAAAGAATACTCAGTTCTAAGTAAACCGATCACAAATAAGAGTTAAATTCATTCACGCTCACTTTCTATTCTCTTCTCCAATTTCCTTAAGTACCTATCACGGGGAAAGCAGAAGAAAAACAAACAAACGAACGAACAGAAATGTCCAAGATATGCAGAGCCGTACAGACAGAAAGTGCATTAGGGGTTGTGAGTGTCTGGGGAAGGGAAAGAGGAAGCAACTGCTAATGGTTATGGGTTTTATAAGGGAGGTAATAAACATGCTCTGGTGTGAGATGTTGTCTTTGCACAGCTTTAGGAATATAGTCAAAACCACTGAATCATATACTTCAGAAGTTGAATTTTATTATATGTGAATTTTATCTCAATAAAGCTGTTATCAAGCCCCCCCCCCAAAAAAAAACAACAGAGAAACAAATGCAGGGTGGAAGCAATGGTACAGTTCTCATAAAAATAATTACTACTTAATTTACAAAGTTATGACTATATTAAGCACAAAAGAATATAATTAGATTTTTGTCTTATTTGTTTGTTTTTGCAAAATGTTAGTTAAGGCGGTGTTTCAGCAATAAAACCATCATGAGGACGGTTTCTGTCCATATACCTCCTTATATTTTTTACAGTCTAGTAGGAAGAATATAGCAGCCTAACCTGGGCTACCCTCCCCAACAGCTCCTCAAACCTGCGGCGTGCTCAAGATGAAGACAATGAATGGAAAAGGGCACCTAACTGTGCAGGTCAGTGTGCGAGAGACAGACAGTTCTGCTTAGGAGCGCTCTGCTCCTCATCTCTCACTGTGGTCATCCCCTCCCCAGGCCCATTTTTCTCTCAGATCACTTCTGAATCTCCCCCTTATACTTAATTATGTATGCTTTTGGTATAAAAATTACTGCCCAGTGAGATTATTCTGCATAAATACTTTTATACCAGGCCATCATGATTAAAGTGGGAATAGTATTTCTTAAATGTCAAAAGTGGTGATTGGTTTCAGTATTCTACAACATTTTTATAACCTAGTCATCGCTTCTGGGCAGATTCCTGTTCTAATAACCTTTGTCAATCACGGCGGCACAAATAACCATTTGCTTCATTATTCTCATTATTAATCTCTAACAAAAAAAGAGCCAGAGATGGCTTGTAGAAGAGCAACTCGTTCATCAAGAAAGAAGAGACTACTAATCTCAAAGAATACATTAATTAGAAGAGCTTGTTGAATAAACAGCATCTTAAAAAAAACAATGACAACAGAATGAATGGTGGTCTAAATAAGCTAATGTTTTCAAAGTCAGGTCATATCAGACCAGGCTTGTTTTACATTTCCATGCTTTTTGGTCAGCAAGCTCTGAAAGACAGGGATGATTTGAGGTGGTCCTGGGGGGTCTCTGCCAGCTGTAATGTATATAAAAAGATTTTTTTCATTCTACCTGTTATCATAGGCAGTAATGTTTACAGTAGATGAACTTATCAGCCTGGATGCAGAATATGATTTTCACTGTTTAAGAGGGCAGCACAATTAAACAGCCCAAGAGGTAGATGCAGCATCATTTGAAGACAAATTAGAGGTGCATCTCATTTCCTGGGCCTCACTTTACTGCGCACTGTACAAACTGAAGGTTGGGGACAACCCGGTGTCAAGCAAGACTATCGGTGCTGTTTCTTCCCACAGCATTTGCTCATTTTATGTCTCTGTCACATTTCGGTAATTCTCACAAGACTTTAAACTTTTTCATTATTATATTTGTTGTGGTGATCTGTGAGCAGGGATCTGTGATGCTACTATTGTAATGTTTTTGGGCACCATGAACTGTGCCCACATAAGAAGGCAAACTCACTTGACATATGTGTGTTCTGAGTGCCCCAGTGACCAGTGGTTCTCCTGTCTTCCTTCCTCTCTTTGGGCTTCCTTACTCCCTCAGACAAAACATATTAAAATTAGGCCAATTAGCAGCCTTACAGTGGCCTCTAAGTGTTCAGGTAAAGGAAAACTTGCACATCTCTCATTTAACATCAAAAGCTAGAAATGATCAAACTTAGTGAGGAAGGCATGTAGTAAGTTGAGACAGGCTGAAAGCCAGGAATCTTGTACTAAAGAGTCAAGTCATGAATGCAAAGGAAAGTTCTTGAAGGAACTTCCTACTACAGTGAACACAGGAGTGATAAGAAGGTGATACAGCCTTCCTGCTGATATGCAGAAAGTCAAACGTTCCAGACAGATAACCAAGGCAGCAACAACGTTCCCTTAAGCCCAAGCCTAACCCAGACTGGGGCCCTAACTCTCTTCAACTCTGACAGGGCTGAGAGAGCGGAGCAAACTGCCCAAGGAAAAACGGAAGCTAGGAGAGGTTTGGTCTTGAGGTGTAAGAAAAGAAGATGTCTCCTTAACATAAAAATATAAAGTGAAGCAGTAAATACTGACATAGAAGCTGCAGCAAGCTATTTAGAAGATCTGGCTAAGAAAATTAATGAAAGTAGCTACACTAAACAACAGATTTTTAGTGTAGACAAAACAGCCTTAAATTATTGGAAGATGCCATTCAGGACTTTCATAGCTATAGAGATGTAAATGCCTGGCTTCAAAATTTCAAAGGATGGGCTGACTCTTTTGTTAAGGACTAATATAGCTGGTGACTTTAAGTTGAGGACAATTTTCTCTTACTATTCTGAAAACCCTAGGGTCCTTAAGAAGACAAGGAAACAACTGGTGTGTCTTTCAATACATGATTGGATAAAGAAGATGTGGTACATACACAGCCTGTCCAGAAGGTGTCCAGCCATGTAATATGAAAAATAGAGACATTTATTGAAAAGGATACAAGATACAGGAAACATTGTACAAAGGACAATGAAGCTTCAGTCCCCTTCAAAGTAGGCACCTGGAGACCTCACATAGTTTTCCCAATCACCATCAGCTGCCCGGTCATATTTTCCTGGATCTAATTGATGGTCTGAAATCTCTTCCTTTTCAAAGATGATTTTAGTTTTGGGAAAAGACAGAAGTCACAGAGCACCAAATCTGGTCTGTAGCGGAGCTGGGTCACCTGGAAGATTTGATGTTGCACAAAAAACCTCTGCATGAAAATGATGAATCAGTGGGAGCATTGTTGTGATGAAGCTGCCAGTGGTCCATAGCTGTGGCCTTCTGTATCATCTGAATAGTTTCCCTGGAGGAATGTTCAAGCTTAACACAAAATTTGATGCAGATTCATTGTTCTACTAGCTCAGTCATTTTGAATGTGACGGCCACACAGTGCACATGCTCACTCAATAGTGTTATCACCCCCACTGACTAGAACAGTGAAGTCATCATTGTTCATACATGAGCATTCCAGTCCACTCTCCTTGGCTGCCAGGTTACATCAATGTCATGAAAACCATTCTCATTATGTTAACAATGGCTGAATTTTTTCCAGACAGACTTCATATATACAATGGAATACT